GGGGGATTCTGGAAGCCTGAAGAAGCGTGTACATTTTACAATTACATATCGGAAATTATTATTTCAATATAAATACCTTTGGATTTTATTGTTTTTAGGCAAAAATATTGGATTCTGGAGTGCAATTTAATATTGTGCTTTTGGGGGAGTCACAGGTTTGCCACCCCTTCCATTGTGTAGGTCTGTCCTGGCTCACCTCAGCAGACATTTCACCGTCCAGCTGATTAAGTTCAAATGGATCCTCGAGCTGTAGAAGCTGGGCCATGAGCTTCCTCCTGTCTCTTCTCAGTCTGCACTTTCAACTCCTCCTCAGCAGAAATCAATATGTTGCCTTAAAGCTCAAGTATGCAATGTATTCCAGGAGATGTTTATTTTTTTGTCTCTTTTTTTGCTGAAAATCTTTTTATATGTGGACATCAATCAGTGAATCAAGTGCTCTGATATTAAAAAGGGAAAAAAGCTGTTACTTATGGCAGTCACAGGCCTGTAAAAAAAGTAACTGATCATTGAATTAGGTTCCCATGACAAGACCAGACGATCTACCTGTTTGTCTCAACTATGCACCTGCCAGCAATGCAATCACACTATGCACTTATTTATTGCACATCACCACAAGGCTTGGTGAACAGTTTGCTGGCGCTAGGGACACTTACAATGACATGAAACCTATAGTTCGGTTTAATTACTTGTATAATGTTGCTTGCAGTATTGTCTGGACTCTCACCTTGTCTCATCCTTTGTTTAGAACAAGTTGAGGCTTGTCCTAAAATCACCGCTTTGTTTCAAGGGCAGAGCATCGGGAACCGGTTCCAATTTAGAACGGATTTCAAAGTTTCAATTCTAAAAGGTGATAATTAAGAAAGTTTCATTTAAACTCTGCTTAACGGCTCTGAAACAAATTTCACTCGCCTTATTTTACACCTCCTCTGTCTCTAGTGTTATCCACTATGCCGACTGAATACATGCGCATTTTCTGTCTCCTGATTCATTTGTCTTAAGTCTTGAGCTGTCATCCATTTGCTTTATTGTCACGAGAACAGCACAAATAATTGTCTCATCACAATCATCTTGGTTTTGGCAAATGCTGCTACAAAGCGCTTTACAAGAACAGTTAAAGCAGAATTTTACTGTTTTAGTGACTCAGACCAACTGAACCTCAGACAATCAGAATCGTTATGAACCAGAATCAATAAGCAAAACTGCCATCGGCTCTTGGATGGGAGGTGAAACGCTCTCGAGACCAAGAAGAGAAGTCCAGTTGCTTTTTCCTAAGAATGTTAGAATAAAATATAAACAACACTTAATTCTATTTGTAGCAAAAAATTAAGCCAACATGGAAATGCCAACCACTGCACTTCCGTGAACGGAGGCTGTTTAACAAATGAGCCTGTCCCCATAGAACCCCAAGTGGTCAACTTTGCAGCAGAAATAAACATGATTACAATCTGGTACAAAAAGCAATTTTGGTCACTTTAGCTAGTTTCTCCATTTGTGACAACGGTACAGAGCTAAACTCATAAAACTCATCTGCTTTGATTGTATAAAAGTTTAAAGTTACACATGTTTTTTAAGAGTATGATCACTTTGAATGCAGCCTCAGCTTTGTTGATGCTTCACCTCTTGATGGGGTTGTGATGGCCTGATTGTCTGATTTAATGTCAGAGAGTGAGAGAAAAAAAAGGTTTTAAGTCTTTTTATACAGTGGATGTAAACTTCTGGTTTCAACTGTATGTTTACTTGTAGTCTCTAGTATAAGTCAGGCTCCAGAAACACCAGATCCTGCACTTCCCACAGTCCAACAGGAAAGTTTCTTAATAGAACCTCAATGCTTCATAATGTCTTTTTTTTTTCCACAACTGAACCTCAGGAGGGCTGCAAGGTGGCACAGTTGGTTAGCACTGTTGCCTCACAGCTAGAAGGTTGCCGGTTCGCATCCCGATGGGGTCACCGGGATCTTTCTGCATGGAGTTTGCATGTTCTCCCTGTGCAGCGTGGGTTCTCTCCAGGTTCTCCGGCTTCCTCCCACACAGTCCAAAAACATGTTAAGGTTAATTGGTGATTCTAAATTTTCCGTAGGTGTGAATGTGAGTGTGCTTGGTTGTCTGTCTCTATGTGATAGACTGGCAACCTGTCCAGGGTGTCCCCTGCCTTCGCCCTAAGTCAGCTGGGATAGGCTCCAGCCCCCCCGCAACCCTAATGAGAATTAAGCAGTGTATAGATAATAGATGGCTGAACCTCAGCATCAAGCCTGACTTCAGATAACCCTCATGACTGCCATCACTGGCTTTACAAACTATTTGTGCAATTGCAGAAGCCACTAAATCATTCTTTTTACACAGTGATGAGTAACCTAGACTTTATGTTGACAGTCAGTGGAGTGACCCTTTAAATCAATACAGGCTTAATTGAACTGAATCTACTTTATTAGAATTACATTTACATTACAAGGTGGAGACAGCTGCTTTACATCATTATGTCAAGAGATAAAACTGAGAGAAATTGAACAATTGATTAATTTGGACCCCTCTGATGTTATATCACCTTGTCCAGCTGACTGTAGAGTCCAAACAGCTGGTGCTTTAGAGCTCAGCCTCATGCCATGCATTCTGTTTTATATATAGACAGAAGCATACACAATCTCTCCGTCTGCATTCCTGTGAGAAAATAAATGGAATGTGGTCCCTCACAGGAGACATACCGCTTCTTCCCGTGGAGCGTAAATTTAGCCTGGCATGGCATGGCATGGTACGGCATGAGAAACATGAAAGGAAGAGACAAGCAGATAGACAAGAAGAGGGTCAATCCTATTAAAATGTGCAGCGGGGAGATTTTAGCATCAAACTGACAGCTACAGGACAAGGCCATGGCTAATTTTAAGAAGGCACATTGGGGAACTACCGAGGGATGGGCAGCCAAACTGTATTCATATTCCATGGCTCATTAGCATATTCACCGTCCGATTGTGCTTTATTTTAAATTCCGTCAAATCTGTGGGGAAAGAAAAGTCTCCTGCCAGAATAACAATCCTTCATTCAGATCCAGGCCACAATAATATCACAAGCCGACTCTGGTAACCTGAAATGTTTTGGTGATTTACGATCAAATTTCAGTGCATTTGCATTCAGAATGATCAACACTAAACATCTGTCTGCTGGAAGATTTGTTTTGTTGGCATGTGAAGAGGTGATTTGTCGTCTCCGGTGCAGAATTACAAAAAACAGAGACTTCTGGTAAACCTGCACCCATGTGAACAACAGCTGTGAGTTTTTACAGGATTTAGAGAACAACAATAAAAAACATGAGTGTGCAGAGGGTAAGTGCTGTAACATACCCTCTTACTCCACTTTTTTTTTAATTTTTTTTATTGGCTTTGTTGTGTAACATGTAAAATATGAGGAATTTCTCCTGGATGTGTCTGTTAAAGAAATATTTGAGGCAGATACTTCTCAGCATGTGGCCAACAGAGATTCAAGTTTAAACTCTTCAACTTCCTTTTTCATAGTGTTACATCTGTATATTACTGAATTATTACAGATATACTAACATGTAAACAGCATAATGTTGAAGCTGGTCAGTAAAGTGAAACTAATTTACATCTAACAATGTGATATTTCAGGAACTGATCAGAAATCGTTTGTTTAAAATCTGAATATGAAAAGTTACCCAAGCTGTTAAATAAACATAGAAAGAATAACATTGGCCCTGACATGTAGAAGAAAAGAATTACGACTGGCACAAAATGAAGATACTAAAGTACCTCTGTTTACTCTATTTACTTAGAAGTATGTAAGTATGAGCCGCACAGTGTCGGTCATTTATGAAAGTGAAATTAAAGTTAAAGTAATATTACTGGTTTGGTCCCTTTGACCGATACATTATTATATATGACATTTTTGGATTGTTAAATGATGAAGCTGCTGTAGTTGCTGCAGGTGAATCTGATCTTCAGTTTTTTTGTGTGTTTGTTTTAGAAAAAAAAAACTACGTTCTCATTCACAAATCTGCTTTCAGTTTTTGGACTTTTTCCTCTAACTGTAGGGTCAAAACTTTCTAAATTAATCGGGTTAAGCTTCAAAATAACTAATGCTGTAGAGTCTTAGCCTTAATATTTAAATTAATTTTGTTCAATTGTGTAATTTAGAATACAGCGGTATTCTTAACTTTAGCTACGTTTATTTCCACTTTAGGTAACACTGTAGGGTGTCAGTATTAATATGCATTATGGTCAGGTAAAGTTTTTTTTTTTATTAATTCATTTTTTTGTGGAGTTTTAATACCTAATATGTAAATTACTCAGGTAAAATCACACCGTAAATGACACTATAGGGTGCTAACTCCTATATTTAAGCTTGTAAATTTAGTAAGGCCTATCAGGACTTTAAAAATATATATCTATTATTATTATTATTATTGTTGTCGTTGTTTTTATTATTATTATTTTACTGGAAAATTTATGTAAGACAGTCATCTTACATGTTCTATTTAAAAAAATGGTGACTTTGCTTCACTAGAAAATACAATATTTCTCTGAATTGTAGTGAAGTAGAAATAGAAATTAGCATAACATAATAAAATGGAGATAATCAAGTAAGAAGAGATTAAAAGCCCTTAGTTCAATTTCCACCATTGCTCCTGAGGTAAAGAGAAGATAGACTGGCTCTTTTATTTTCTATTAAGTGCTTTATTTTGTAGAAGCACTGAGTTCTCTGTCCCCACAGTAAAGGTCTGGTGTGTCTGTGTTAAATCAGTCAGAAATAGTCTTTATAGGTGCTGCTTTTCCCAATATAAACATGACCTACTTTCCCCCTTATGGTTCATATATCTGACCTATATTCCTCCCTGCAGCTTCACCGCGCTGAAACTCAAGTCTGATGCAACTGGGCGGATCGGTCACCAAACCCCGCCCATATTTCCAGATCCAGCTTCTCATTGGCCAGTCCCTTCGCGTCTCTCTTTCGTGATTGGCCAGGCTCGCTATCCATTACCGGTAAAGACCACATAGGGGTTGAGTAAAAAGGAAGCCACGTTGACACGGAAAGTGGTATTTTCTGTGTTTTTTTAACGCCGGACAATAACGGTCACGTCGACAGGTTACATCTGTCATCTCAGAAGTCTCAGCTGGAACATCTAAGGACAGGTATCAGTGGTTATTTGTTATGTATTTGTCGCGTTTCTTATTTATTTCTTACTGTTAGCCGAGCAGCTAGCCGAGCACAGGCGGTCATTAGCTAGCTAGCAGATGCTAATAGCACCCTGATAAGCATCAACTGGAGCGCTAATGCTAACACTTCATAAAACAATGGCTAGTTAGCAAACATCAGACGATGTCAAAGGGAAAACTTGACACTAAAACACCATTTAAGTGCTATTATAACGTTTTGTTTTTTTTTACTGTTATTGTACAAACTCAGCTGTCTTGTTAAGCAGGAACTCAAAGTGTCCTTAGCAAAGTTCACACTAAAATAGATGCTGTAAGTTTTTGTTGTCAGTATTGCATGCAAATGAGTTTTGTGTGAATGTAAAGCCGCTATCTGTGCCAGTGTAACACTAAGTCACCCATGGATGCTGCCAATATGTCAGAGGAGGTGTTACATCATTTTTCTGTCTATCTGTGGACCAGCTCCAGGATTTTTCTCCAGATTTCATCACCACCAAAGCCTGTCTCTTTACTTTTTGACAAGTTCAGAACTAAGAAAAAAAAAGTGAAAGGCATGTTTTATATTAGTTCAGAAGTTTGGTAAAGTAAAATAAATGACAGTCTGCAGCAATTTTTTTTCTTTCTTTTATTATTGTGCAGAGCAGAAACGCCACATCATCTGACAGGATGAGTGTTGGATTCATCGGAGCGGGCCAGCTGGCTCATGCACTGGTGAAGGGTTTCACTGCTGCAGGTGAGTTGTTGTAATTATTTCCCAAGATTAAACCTTATCAGACTTTGAAAAGCACGACTATCTTACTAAGTTGGACTTAGTAACATTTCCACATCACTTTGAACACAGCAGAAATCTAAACTAGACCCAGTCACAATAATAGATAAGCACGCACAAGGGACAGCACTATGAGTTGTGTGAAGAGATTTAGCGAAGACTTTTTACACATTTCAGCATCTATATTCATCCAGCACAAAAGGCACAGTTTGTGTGCCAAAATCACAAAACACTTTTCAACGCTTTGCTGAACAATTTCACATCTGCGGGGCTTCAAACTGAAAAGTCATTTTATTTGATAAAACTTTAACGATGGCTGAAGTTTAGGTTGTTGCTCCCAGCTGTTCACAGAAATCTCTCTGCTGAGTTTATTAAATACCTGCTGCATCAAAGAGCATCAGGATCCATATGAGCGTCTCCAAGGTGTGAGAGATGCGCACAATATTTCATGATCATGTGTGACATTTTAATTTCATTTGCAATATTTGTTTATCGTGTAATTTCATGAGCTTTGTTTTTACTGTCTACCATTGCCAGTGTTGCTTATTCCTTTTTCTATTCCTGTTTAACTTTAGTGACTAATTTTTATTTGTAGTAATGTATAGTATTTGCAACTTATTGCTTTTCGACGTGGCATTGCATTTGGCACGTTATGAAATGTTTTCTGAGCAATATCAGATAAAAGAATGTCCTTTGGGATTAACAAAGTTTTATCTCATCTTGGCACATGAAACAACAGATAGCTGCACGAGTAACTGAATTAATTACTTATAAATTATCCCCAACATAGAGACAGGGTCAGCGCGAATCTCACACACTGTGGTGACACTGTGTACTTTTCTTCACATCAGGTAGGTGAGCTGTCCCAAAGAGTCACTGTTTATTAGCTACACTTTAAATCATTTGTTGCATAGTGGCCGTCCTCAGGTTGACTCCTGAGCCCCATCATAGCTGTCAGGTTGCATTATTATGTATTATGCATCACTTGGTGTCCTGTCAAAACTTGTGTTGCTGTCACTACGACACAAGGCTGATTTACAGTATGTCTCAGTGACAGAATGCTGTCACCTTAAGAAACTGGATACAGCAATTTATATATCCCAGGTGTGAAAAGGACTTCATACACTCATTTCTTGTGCTGATGTAATGCAGATTTACCCTCTGGGATCAATAAGTTCGTATCTGGCTGACTGCACTGTACATCCTCACACTTCTCTCCCTACTTTCTTCTGTCTCCCTCACCAGGTGTGATTGCCACACACAGGATTACAGCCAGCTCCCCAGACACAGACCTCCCCACTGTGACAGGACTGAGGGTGAGGAGATCAGTTTTTGGTTGGTTGTGCGATGTGGCATATGTGCGAGTGTGGGCTTGTCTATGAGTTGTAATAACACCTATTTGCATCCTTCCCTCAGCAATATCCCCTTTCTTCAGCATCAACAACTTCCTTTTCTTGTTTTCCTGTAGAAAATGGGCGTAAACCTGACAACTAGCAACAAAGAGACCGTCAACAAAAGCGATGTGCTCTTTTTGGCTGTGAAGCCCCACATCATCCCATTCGTTCTGGATGAAATAGGACCAGACATCGAGGACCGTCATCTCATAGTCTCTTGTGCGGCAGGTGTTACCATCAACTCCATAGAGAAGGTAAGCCTCATTCACTTTCTTCCACGTGCTCTGAAATACAGACTTTTCAATATGTTGCAGTTTACAGATGCTAGATGACTTTATTGTTCAAGCCTTTATTTATTTTGTTACATCTTCCTTTGCTCAGACGGGGTTTAATCAGGCTGTTTTGGCACGACTCCAAACCTCAAAAATAAAGCTGTTAAATTCTGTCTCGTTTACAGAAATTTCTCTTGTAAATTTACAGAAGCTGCTCCAGTATCGCACAGCTCCTAAAGTCATGAGATGTATGACAAACACTCCGGTGGTGGTGAGAGAGGGAGCTACAGTGTACGCCACTGGGACGCATGCAGAGGTAAAGAGGAACGAAATGACAGCTATGAAAATATGGTTAAAATGTTTATGAATGGTGTGCATCTTTTGGGTGTTAATTGTTATGATGAGATAAATGTACCATAGGGCTACACACTGAAGCTGGACTTTTTAACCTCATTGACCAGGACATTGTTGTTATTTAAGGTGGAGGATGGCAAGTTGCTGGAGCAGTTGATGGCCAGTGTAGGTTTCTGCACAGAGGTGGAGGAAGACCTCATCGATGCCGTCACTGGTCTGAGTGGCAGCGGACCCGCCTATGTAAGTAGCTTCGGGACTGTTTTTCCACCCCAGAATGGTTTGATAAATCCAGGTTTTGGCTATTACAGTGAGACTTTGCAGTGAGGAAATAATCTGTGAAATCCTTTATCCTCAAGTAGACTAAATCTGAGCCTGCTGCACAGTTGGTGGTTACAACTTTATCTTGCAGCTTGTAAATAAGATTTTTTTTTTTCTAAACTCTACTTTTTGCTCTCAGAGAACTACTGAGACTCATTAGGATTGATTCAGGACTGATCTGATAAGCTCTGTTTTTGGAAAATGGTTTGCCATTACTTAAGTTTATCTTAAGCTGACAGGTTTCACAGGCAGAGTCTAAACTAATCATTACTTTTTGATGTCTTTTTAAAGTCTGTAAGATGTCAAAAATAATGACAAAGCATTCAATTAAAAAGAAAATAGTGTAAAAAGTAAGCACATCTTCATAGAGATAAGCAGAAAATGTGCTATTTTTACTTGATAAATGACGTAAACATATTGTGTTCGTTGATTGACTTGTTATTCAAACAATGCATTATTTTGGCTTCATGCACGACTATGACTGTGCTGACTGCTAAAAACCTCTGCATGTTCACTCTGTCAGTCAGTCTAGACATCGGAAAAACAGTGACAGGAAGAAGAGCTTAAATGAATGCTTGTATTTCTCCAGAGAGCGAGCCCAGCTGTGGTAATGACTTGTACTGCCATGCGCGCATTTCCAAATCTCAACACATCCTTAAGCACAGTGGTTGAGGAAATTAGGAATAATTGTGTCTGGAGGTTTTTATCTGGTCTCTGCGTAGGGCTTCAGCGTTAGACAGGTATTTTCAAACATAGTTAAAAGGGTGTGAGTACATTTTTTTTTCCTGACTGGCTGTCCGACTGCACATCTTAAGAACTAGCTTCCCTGAAAGAGGGAAATCAATTGTTCTGCCTCAGACTATACAGAAGTAAGGGTAGTAAAAGAGGAATCACTGTCTGGTGCATCAGATTACTGTGCGATTACGTATTTATATTAAAACTGTACATCTGTTAATGTGTGCTGATGACGCCTTAAAGTAAAAACTGACTGCTTTGTGTTTAAACAGGCGTTCACAGCCCTGGATGCTCTTGCAGACGGAGGAGTGAAGATGGGTTTGCCCAGGAGACTCGCTGTCAGACTTGGAGCTCAGGCTCTATTGGTCAGTCGTCTTTATTGTTTGTTTCTGTGTGTCTGCTAGTTGTATATCATTCGCTGCACTTATTCCCAATGTTAAGTGTCCTTGATCCACTACTGTGCGTGTTTGGAGGCAACAACCTCATTAGATTTAGTTGCTGCTTTCAGTGCACTCAGCCATTCTACCGTCTGATAACTGCTGACTTTTGTTCAATGAAATAATGAAACGCCAGGAAAATAAACACCTACAGGGCACTCTGGCTTGGCAAGAAAAAAAAGAAAAAGATAAAAAAAAATTAGGAAGGATGCATTTTGATCCCATGGCTGTTTTCCTCAGGGTTTATGCAAATTTTAAATTGCTGTTTTTAACATAAAACCTAAATATTAGTCGATTATATTAATGAAGACAGTGTTGCGATCTCAGTTTGGCAGGTCATCAAAATAGATTGCTAGAAATTAGTTTTTGTTATCGTGGTGGCTGCTTGCGGCTTCGTCTTCTGTTCAGCACTCAGAGTGTGCAGCTTTTTTTTTTTTTGCTATTTATGAGTAATGTTGTCTGTTGCCCCCTTTTTTCTGTAATAGCCTTTTCAGATGCTGTTATATGTTAAAGAAAGTAAATAATCTTGATGTGAGTGTCTTCACTTATTTTCACGTATTTCACTTGTGCGCCAACATTCAGCATCACGCTGCTGGAATATCACTGTATGTGATACTGCATCACAATACATGTGTGCTCCATTCAGATAATGATGACCTTAGGATGAACATAAATCAGAGTAAATATGAAACGTAATATAAACCCCAAATAAACAGCAGACAACACATTAGCCACTGAGGAGGAGGGAAAAAAGGGGTTGTTTCAATAAGTTGTTTCTTTAATTTTACGTTCTATGATCTTTCTTCTGTTCCTGTTTCCCCTCAGGGAGCAGCTAAGATGCTCCTGGACTCGGAGCAGCACCCCGGTCAGCTGAAGGACAACGTGTGCTCACCAGGGGGCGCCACCATCCACGCCCTGCACTTTCTGGAGAGTGGCGGCTTCCGCAGCCTCCTGATCAACGCGGTGGAGGCTTCGTGCATCAGGACACGGTGAGACTGTTGCATGTGGAAATGCAAATCACTTGCCTGCACCTCACTGAGTTTTTCAATTATTTATCTCCTGCTGTGTTAGTGTCCCAAAATTTCCATGACCTCAGCAACTGTCAAGGTGTCCTGAATTTGGGTAGTGCTGCAGCTAATGATTATTTTGTTGCTTAATGAATAGGGACTAAGTCTGATCAATGACATCAGGTTACTACATTTACACTGATCTGAAACGCAAAGAAAAGCAGCAAGAACATCTAGGACGATGAAATCAATCAGGAGTAAAAAATGCCCAGAAACTGCCAGGAGTTCGGGGGGCTAAAATGTGTCGCTGTCTTAAGCTTTATAGATGTAATGGAGGAGGAAATATGACACATATACACCTTAATTTATTTTGTACACCTGATGTAAGGGTTTCCCTTTGTCTCACAGGGAGCTACAGTCGCTGGCAGACCAGGAGCGAATCTCTCCAGCAGCCATTAAGAAAACCACGTTGGACAAAGTGCTCCAGCAGCCCGGAGTCACAGTCAGCGGAGTGGCTAATGGGAACGGCAGATCAGGGCTCAGCTTGTTCAACAATCGCACCTCTGGGATCAAGAAGAAAAACTGAGGACACAGGGAGACACACAAATACAACAAACGACATATTACAGGTTTCAGTGTACCACTGCGTACACACGTGGGCATGCATACATATTAAGCCGATGTTCAGCCATAGAATTTAAAAAAATGGACTCAGGACTGCTCAGAAATCATATCCAGATTACTTTGCCAAATAACTTATTCGTACTTGAGTGACATGCGAACCATGGACCTGGTGGTGACGTCACCACATTACACACAAGCACAGGTGTATTCTGCACACATTGCTCACAGTTACAGCCTTATGTTGTGATGCAGGATTACTGTCTACAAATACACAAATCCAGATACACACTGAAGTGCAGAAGTGCATTTACAATCTGTCTGTCTGTGTTTGGGCTCGAGAGTCTCTGGGGCCGTTAAACGGTAATGACCCAGTGGGCCATCATGGGCTCCTGGTACACACCAGGCAGCAGATGGCTGCTGGATAACATAAAGCTGTTATTGTATGTCTTTAATGTCTGTCTTTAAAAAAAAAAAAAAAAAAAACTGAAGTCACAGTGGAAATCATCATGTACCCTTTTTTTCTTTTTGCAAATAATTATCTTTGTTTGGCCAACAGTATTATACTGTTAACGAAGACTGAACGTGGATTGAACAAGCATTTTAATAACTTTTGTTTGTCATATATGAACACTATGGTCTGCTAGCACATTAAGGACTTTGTGCCTTTGGCCCAGAACATTTTTTTTTCTCTCATAAAGGTCATTCCGAGCTGTAATACACTCCTGATTTCAGCATTGTTTGTTGTTCTGAAGGACATTGTACGTCTTAAAACCCAAAGGCGCTTAGGTATTCTCTCATAAGGGAGTGTGATGTTATTTTCTGGAACTGCTTAAATTATCTACCCAGTGAAATGCAATTTATGTAAACTATGATGTCATGGCATTACACCAGACATGAATCCGTCCAAACTGTGCTTTTTGCTTTGTTCTTTATATTTTATCCCCATAATGTTTCATGTATTGTTTTGTTTAACACATTTCTCCAATGAATTGATATGGGAGTCAAGAAGCTAATATTAAAGAAGCATAATTGGGTTTCCTTGTTACACTTTGATTATGTTGATCCCCTCGCTCTATGTAGCTTGTTTTTTTTTTTTTTTCCTTCTAACCCTTACAGATTGCAGTCTCCTCTCTGTCCATCAGTGAGTAATTAATATGCACCCTGGCCTCCAGATGGCGCCCTTTGATCAATGTGACCCATTCCCACATGCCTATAAAGATCAAATTACCCTCCTCACATTGCTGCCAGCTGAGAGTGACTTAAAATTGACCCTAGTCTAGCATCAAATATAACTACACAGCCGCACTTATTGGTAAACGGCATTAGCTGCGGTGCTACAATTACATGTTTCACCCACTTGTCATCCAAAACTCTCCCCGTGTCTTATTTTGTCTCTGCTTGTAGGTCACTGCCTGCTGAATTCTTTCCCAATCAGATCCCTCTTCTGCTAAAATTAGACCCTCTGTATGCCTTAAATAATAAGAGGTAAACGTGTTTTTCCTCACGGACCTTGGTGTGCATCGTGATTGGTTGTTTGAAGGGGAAACATGGTCCAACTTTAGAAGCGTTCTGTCAGCTGAACTGACCAGGGAGGCAGATCATGCTTTTTTTTCTTTACACATCCAGCCCTCTCTTGATTAGATCAGAGACATGGGGCTGCAGCAAATGGTGGAAGATTTGTGTTAAGTACCCGCATAAGAGTACATAAATGCAAGTAAAAGTCCTGCTTCCAAAATCCTACTTAAGTAGTTTCAGTTGAAAGTGCAGAAGGTAAACTTACTTAAGAAAAATGGCGCCTGCATGTGATACCATAAATTCTATTGTTGGATTAATGCTTATGTGTTGATGTCTAAGTACTGATAGTTGGCTGACATGGAGCTAGTTATTTAGTGAAATCCAGTAGTTAATGACCAAGTAATCCAGCCTTTCCAGAGTCACATAAACAACCTGAGAGGAGAAGAAACAACATACATTTCTGTTACACAACTTCAGTCTCATTTTTGGACTTCTCTCCAGTCTTTGCTGTTGTGGTGAAAGTTAGAGTGGAAATCTCTCGTAGGTGGTAATAACCCAGACGTCTGAGAAGTCACAAGAGGTCCTAAATATAAACTGCTTTTTTGTAAGATGGCAAAAGCTCATTGACTGTATGTGAAGATGGTAAAACACTCTGAGACACGTGTATAGGTTTTCTGACAAGTGGTTCTGAGTCTCAACGTGGTGGTTCCCATCTCTGCATTGCCCGACTCCAGCCAATCCAAAAACGAGCAAATAGGTGGAGGTGAGGGATGTCATGTAAACATCTCTGGGCCCCACCTGTCACTCAAAGTGGCCACACCCTTAATTATGCATAACTTTAACTCTTAGTATAATTTAAAAGGGTAATTTTTTTATTTATTTTATTTAAGTACACCCCATACAGTTGTCTTGAACAGGGAAATTAGCTGTAGAGACCAAAACAGTTTTTTGTACCTGACTGTAAACAAGTTTATATCAACTGTAAAATTGGGCATTTTAACATGAGAGTCAATGGGGACTGACTAACTTTTGGAACCAGCCTCAAGTGGACATTTGAAGAACTGCAGTTTTTGGCACACGTTGACATAAGCCACAAGTATTTTTTTCTTTTTTTTTCTGTTAAATGTAAAATGCACAGCTGAAAACTGCAACCAATAGAGCCAATTCTTTATTTGATAACGATTTTAATGAGTAAAATACTCAGATATCGATATGTTGCCTGATCTTCTTCATGTATACTCTAGATTTATATTAAAAGCTAAAATACTGTGTCATAACGAATTAACTTTCCACCACTGTATTTCACAAGCTAATTAGCGACTTACTGTAAAGAGTGTCCCATCTGCTCAGCTGGGACACTCACTCTGCTGCATGTGGTGCAGATATTGCTGAGTCGGAGCTGCTCTGCTGAACAAACTATGTCGTGACACCCTCTCTAGATTACCGCAAGCCTTTATTTAAATTTCTAGTAATGTATTTCACAGACTAATTAGCAACTTACCATGCTTGACTCTGCACCACTATCTGCTCAGGTGTGATATGTACTCTGCTACATGTGCTGCAGACAGTGCTTATGGTAAATAATGGAGTCCAAGCTACGTTGCTGAATAAACTATGTCATGACACCAGTTCTAATTTACCCCAAGCACTATTTTCTGCAAAAGTTCTCAACAACATAATGCTGATATATCTGTGATTGATGATCGGCCAACAAAATCAAAGAGGCTTAAGCAACCAAGACCTGCAGCTATAAGATAAATTTAGAATTAGGAGTAGAATTATAATGGAAATAGTCCAAGCAAAATGTAGGTACCTCAAAATCGTAAAGTTCAGTATTTGAGGAGATGTCGCTTTCCGCCGCTGGGTGTTGTGAGCTTATAGAAACTAAATATCAATGAATTGTGAATTAGCTGATAGCAGAGCACAAAAGTGCAGTAACATTTGGGTATATTAAGAGACAGTGGCTACAGCAGACTTCAGGTCTGTAAAGTGCTTTTTAGATATTCGGGCCCATTGCTGCGCTCCAGGCTGCAACATTTTGGATTAACAACCAGCACTTTGTGTTGGAATGAGATAGGCCTGTGGGTGTATTCAGGCAATACACAGGTGCATAATGGTGAAGTAAAAATGATGGAAGAGGAGTGATGGTTTGTGAAGAGCCATGTCCTCATTATAATTGAACAATTTATAGCTGTTGTAGGATTAGTTTATTTTCCTTAAACTAATACACACACCAGTGTCCCTTGATTAAATTGCGTCCTGCGTGCTCTTAGTGCACTCTGGCTGTTTATTTGTGCGTGCAATGGTTTTTCCTCAGCCGCTGAAGTGTCTTGGTAATCCCTCTTTTATTCCAAAAGGTTATTCTCCGCTTGCTCCTGCCGCTGTCCGTTAAGATTAGCCATTCCTGGAGAGACTTCCATTTGCCTCTCATTATTAGACTTCTGTTACCTTTCGTTGGTTGGGCGGCTTTGAGCGCTTCTCTTCCACCCAAGGTGAAGAGGATGTGCTCTGTGTCAATCATCTTGACACCGACTGAGGGTCTAAGATGGCAGTTCAGTGGTAGATTATCCTAAGAGGAAAGTTTGGATGGTATGTGTGTTTGTGTGTGTGTGTGTGTATGTGTGTGTATATGTGTGTGTGTGTGTGTGTGTGTGTGTGTGGGCTCCAGCCCAGCATGGGATTTCTATCCACAGGTAGGCCAGATGCTACCTGTCATCTCCATTCAATCAATGTAATCACTGACCTTTGCAGTAACATGGTTGTTTGCATATTGTATCAAAGCCAGGAGGAGCGCCAGAAACCATGATGAGTAAACAGATGAAAGGGCTGTTTTCACCAAACGTCCACCTAATCCCCTCTGAAATGAAAAACTTAGATAGACAAGCGAGGAAAGAGGTGTTTGTTTTCCACGTTCCCCTCTTTTGCTTTTTGTGCACCGCGCTGTTGTCAGCAATCTGTGTGTGTGTGTTTGTGTTCGTGTGAGACTTGTACATGGCCGTGATCTTGTAGCTGATACAGTATCAGCTTTGTGCAGCTGTCTGTTGAAACGGTCGCAGAAAGAGGAAACTCTGACGGTTACCACACAGTCAGTGAATGTGCACTATGGGCTTCCCTCTAGTGCTAACCTGCACTTGAACAGGCCAAGAGGATTCCTGGAGACACGCACCTGTGTTTTTCTAATGTCTTTCTAGGAATCAGACATGCTGTCGGGTTGTACTTGTTACCTGTATTATGTGCAACAGTGGAAACAAGTATTTACAAAGTTTTTATTTGTGCATAAATGTGCATTTAATATATTACAGTTCTGTATACAGACGCAATCAGCAAGATTTACTGAACATATTAAAAAACTAATACAGCACTGTTTTAGATGCTTAAACACTAAAAGTAAAAGTACTTATTGCAGAAAAATGACCAAGTAACTCTAATCATACGATACATTATATCATTACATTATTATTACTAAACAGTAATACAAAAACAGTATTTCACTGTTGGAATCGGCAACATGTTAAGCTTCAACTAATGATTATTTTATTACGGGTTAATCTGCTGATTATTTTTTTTAATTTTTATTTCTCTTAAATTAAGCGATCAATTGTTTGACTTGTAAAAATTGAAGAAATAGTCTCAGAGCTCACTAGGCTTGCTCTGTCCAAACAACAGCCCCAATCCCTCCATTATCAAAATGACTGAACAGCAAATTTGCATATTTGAAAAGCAGTAACTGTGAAATTTTGTAAATGAAAGATTACTTATATTAACTTGAATTTCCCCAGGGAATGAATAAAGTATCTATTTATCTAAATGATCTTCAAAATTCTAAGTATTTTTCAATCTATAGTCCTCTGGTTTCAGCTTGACTTGACGTAAACAAAGAATTACTTAGAACAATTTTTTGTGTTAAAATCTTGATTTTTGAAACAACAGTCAGATAAATACAGTGGGATAGAAGTATAAAGTAATACAAAATATAAATACTCAAGTCAGGGAGTTGAGTAAGTTTTGTACTTCAGTGCAGTACTATAGTAAAAGTACTTAGTTAAATTCCACCACCACACTGCAGCAGAAATATTACAAAAGTTCAGTGATGAATGTGAGCATCAAATTAACAAACTCTGTTGTTGGGCAGCTTTATTGTATAGAAATTGATTTTATTGCCTTTTTTAAAATGTGAAATCCACCAATTCCTGTGTGTGTCCAATGTAGCTGTCAGAGAAATGAAGTGGGGTAAAAAAGTAAAGTTCAGTTTGAGATGTAGTGGAGTAGAAGTACAACATAGCACATGCCAGTAGTCAGCTCAAAATATTCAACACTACTTCAAAAATGTTGCTTAAATGTAGCACTTAAGGTGGGGCTTTTTCTAACAAATGTGTATACTGCTGGGTAGTGTAACTTAGACACAAAATTGTATTTCAGTTTAGTATTTGGATGAATGCACTCAGTCACTTCCCACTGCCTTTAAGTTGCCACTGTAATGAGCATTTATAAAGTCATATTTCCTCAATATACAGGATGC